GACTTATATGACAAGCGACTATTCAATCTCTGTGCAGCCTTGATGTGGACAATAAGTGATTTTCCCGGTTTCGGAACTTTGTCCTGTTGGAATGTGCATTTGGATTGGCTTGTCTTAAGTACAATTTTGATTCCGTTCCATGTCGCCTTCGACACAGTCGCAAGTAATGCTTTATAGGACATCAATAGTTCCTCGATTCCAAGCACATATTTAGATTGCAATGGATTCGCTTTGATGGAAAATAGGAGAAGAGAGATCCTCCTGTTACTTTGTCTGGTGTGGATATTTTGCGGCAATTAGAAAATGTTAATGTCAAGTTTGGTAAGAATGTGGATCCCAAATGACTAGGACGACGATCTCATAGGACATCTGATGCGCAACCTATGCAATGGCGAAAGATAAGCATATTTTTCACTCTTCCTTATTGAGAATCTAATTTGCTACGACACAATTTGGATGTTATGCATATTGAAAAAAATTTATGTAATAATTTGCTATATACGTTGCTCAACAAAGCTGGAAAGTCCAAAGACCATCTTACAACTAGAAAAGATTTACGGGCCTAGGGGATTCGTGAAGAGACTTGCTTGATGAAAACGACAAGTTTCAACCAGCTAAATTCACCTTGACAAAATAGAACAAAGATATCTTCCTTTCAACGCTAAAGAACATAAAAGTACCAAATGGATATTCTAGCAACATGTCAAGGTGTATCGATCTGTAGGCTCGAAAGGTTACTGGGTTAAAGGGTCATGACTCCCATGTTCCTATGCAACAGTTAGTTCCATTAGCCTTGTAAAACACACTTCCTTCTAATGTATAAGTGGTTTTGGTGGAATTGTGTTCATTTTTCAAGAAGTTGTGTGCGAAGGTCTTGATAGCGGAAGAGCTTGATCAGCTGCAAAATAAAATAATTCTTACACTTTGTAACTTGAAGAAGATATTTCCTCCATCATTCTTCACTGTTATGGTTCACTTAACTGTCCACCTTATTCGAGAAGCAAAGGTTGCTGGCCCAGTTCACTATCGATGGATGTACCCTATAGAGAGGTACAATTGATTATCTTTTATCCCCAGTAGTCTCTTTAAATTTCACATTGTTATTTCATTTGCTCACAATTATTAATGGAATATTAACTTGCAGGTACTTGAGAAAATTAAAATCATATGTTAGGAATAAAGCGTGGCCTGAGGGGTCAATAGCAGAAGGTTATTCAGGAGGTAAGGTCCTAACTTTCTGTTCAAGGTACTTTGATGACATGAAGACATCTTTTAACTACCCGCGTCACATAGATGATTCTCCTCCTGGTCCTTCCATGTCAACTTTATTTCCTTCTGTCGGGAAACTAGTTGGAGGATATGAATTCTTCAGACTTACTCTCACAGAGAAACTCCAGGCATACAGACATGTTTTGATAAATTGCAGCCAAGTTGAACCCTTCATGCAGTAAGTATTATATAAGCTCACTAACTTTTACACTTTATATTTTTTTCTCACTGACTCCTCTAACAAATTACACTTCACTGTAGTGAGTTTAGAAGTTACCTCAGGCGGTAGCTACCAGGGCGTGCGCGTTCCATTGACATTGATAAAAGAGTCCACAAAGAGTTTCCTAGTTGATTTACATGTCGAATACGTAATGACAACAGCCTACACACAGATAAATTCAAAGCTCTCTCTCTTGGTCTGTTAGACCATGCATGAAGGTTTACTGCATATAATGTCGATGGCTTCAAGTTCTGTACGATTGGACGTGATCAGGGATTACTCACACAAAACTCTGGAGTTTGCGGGACATTCGGGGCGAGATGTTATGCTAGCAGCAGTGACGACAATATGCGCTTTGGAGGCATCACTTACTATGGAAAGCTAATTGACATGATTGAGTTGAGTTACCAGCTTTTCACTGTAACTCTGTTCAAGTGCTCCTGGACAAATACAACAACTTTACGGGGACTCGCTACTAACCACTTGGGCATCACCTCTATTAATTTCTTTAGACTTATTCATACAGGGAATCTGAAGATGATGAGCCATATATTCTTGCTTCCGAGGCACACTAGGTTTACTATGTCGAGGATGAGAAACATAAAGACTAGAATATGGTCGTTCACCTCAAGCCACGGAATCTTTATGATATGAGTGATGGTGACATTATTTATGACAGCAAACCCTTCCAACCCTCAAATTTTGAAAACTTCTTTCCTCAAGGAGACGATAATTTGGCAATGATTAGGTATATGTCTTTTCTTAAATTATTTAAATAATTAATTACTAATTACTAATTTTTTCTCAATATATTATAATTCTAATATAATTTTTTTAATATCTCTTTTCAAGCAGGATGATGCTCAAGAATAGCAGTTTCAAAAATTTTTATCATTCAAAAAATTTTCCTTTCATAAATAAATATGTATAAATTGAAATTGGTTCAGGTTCTTAAAAAGTAAAAAATTACAATTTGTAGCGGTTACATAACCGCTACAAATACTAGCAGTTTTATTATACGCTAGAAAATGCAAGGCCGCTACAAAATGAATCAAAACGCTGTAAGAAAACCGCTACAAATATCTCGCTGATCTCTATAAATACCACATTGCCTCTTCATTCATTTACCCTATCTCTTTTCCTTCCTCTTCCATTCTTCTTTATAATTCTCTCTTTTTTTCTTACATCTCGTATGGTAGTTTTTTTTTTTCTTTATTATATGGTAAGGTGATTTTTATTTTATAAGTCTTAATATCTTTTATTTGTCTTTATTTATAATTTACTAACATATTTATTTCTCTTTTTTCTTTTAGAATTTTCTTCTTAACATTTGTCATACCTTTCTCAACTGATTCAAGCACTTCTCAACATAACAGTTTAGGTTTAATATGATAAATTATCTCATCTTTAATTCAACTATCTTATTAAATTTAATTCACTTCATAAAGGCTAGAATATAGTCGTTCACCTCAAGCCACGGAATCTTTATGATATGGGTGATGGTGACATTATTTATGACAGCAAACCCTTCCAACCCTCGAATTTTAAAAACTTCTTTCCTCAAGGAGACGATAATTTGGCAATGATCAGGTATATGTCTTTTCTTAAATTATTTAAATAATTAACTACTAATTACTAATTTTTTCTAAATATATTATAATTTGACACAATCATGACTTAATTACTTATTATTTATTACAAAATTCAATTGTATAACATGTAATACATTAGTAATTATACATATTAACAAAAATTCTCTAATATAATCTACTTAATGGTTTTTAAATTTATAATATTATATTTTTTAATAATCAAACATCTCAATTTATTTTTTTGGCCTGGAATAAACTTTCTAGAAGTTCCCATATCGCTAGAAAATGAAAAAAAAAAGGAGACAAATTTTGTAAAATTTAAATATCCTGCCTCATTAATCGTTAGAAATTTTTGGGTACCAATTCTAAAATTTTGGTTCCCGGCAAAATTTGATTTCCTCCAAACTTTCTAACAGTTATTAACCGCTAGAAATTTTTTGCGTCAAAATGAAAATTTTTGTTTCCTGGCAAAATGAAATTTCACTCAGAACTTTCTAGTAGTTAATTAACCGTTAGAAATTTATCAGCGATTTCTAGCGGTTATAAACCACTAAAAATTTCGTATCATTCTCGTTCCACTACTTGTTTTTTCTAACGGTTATTTTAACCGCTAAAAATTTTCTAGCATTTTGATCATATTATATAGCAGTTCTCATAACCGTTAGAATCTGTTTCGAGCATTTAATTTTCTAGCGGTTTGTCTAACCGTTACAAATGTTATTTGTTACGGTTATAATCACTAGAAAAGTCATTTTTTAACCGCTACAAAATACATGTTTTTTTTATGTGATATAATAAATAAGCATACTTATAACTTGCATTTTTCTTGAAATATTTTGGAATTTTAAATTTAAAAATAATTTTTTTTATTGAAGACACTCATTATATAATAGTATAAATAAGGGTTAAATAGCATTTTTGTCCCAAAAGTTTTTAAAAAGGAGTTGTGGGTATCTAAAAATTTTTTTAGTGCAATTTTGCCCAAGAGTAGTAAAAACATAGGAATTTTGTCCTGTCCTAATAGAACCAAATAATCAACGTCAGTTGACCGGGTTAAGAAAGCATTTTTGCCCCCAAATTTTTTAAAATGGAGTAGTTGGTATCCGAAAGTTTATTTTGGTGCAATTTTGTCCCTTGAGCAATAAAAAATGTAGCAATTCATCTTACCCTAAATTGTCACTTGACTCTTATATAATACTCCTCCGGTTCTAAATATAATACCTTTGTACACACTAGTATAAGTGTATTATATTTAGGACTAGAAGAGTATATCAATTTATATGTTAGTTAGATTAGTTTGGGAGAAAATAATAAACATAAGCAGGAAAATAGATTAAAATATAATATTTAGAACCAAATTTAATTTTCAACTAACTCTTATATTAAAGATAAGAAGTATTCGACTAACAGTTTTATGGTTATTTTTATTGATTGTTTATATTTTCAAGAACAGCAATGATGATGATAATGATAAAAAGGAGAAAAGTGTTTTCTTTTTTTCAATGTGATGATGATGTGGCGTCTTAGGATAAGATAACCTATCAACATAAAATATAAGAAAATTTACGACAATACTTTTTTGATAAAATTTTTACTTGACTGATCATTTCCTAAACTCCAAGTGACATGTCAAATAAAAATATGTCTAACTTTTGTATAAAAAATAAAATTGAAAAGTATTATATCCGTGATTAAAAAATAATAAAAATATAGATAAACACTCTCTATTCTTAATATAAGAATTAATTGAGACTTACATTTAGCCTTAAATATAAGATTTTAGTCTCCTTTGCTTTTCATATTTATTATTTTCTCTTAAATTAATTTACCTAACTTATAAATTGATATATTATATAAAATTCAAATGACAATATTAGATATGATGAAATTGCCACATATTTACTACTTCTGAGACAAAATTGCAAGGAAAAAAAAATTCTAAATATCCACAACTTTTTAATCCAGTCAATGTTAGTTAACCATTTGGGTCTATCAGAACAAGACAAAATTACAACCAAAAAACCTTCCAAGCACACGAAGCTTCTTTTCAAAAACTTCCGTGACAAAAAAACTTCCTTTAAAATAAGCGTAATTATAATTCACTTTTTTCTTAGTGTAATTAGATATTTCTGTTTGTGCGCGCGCGCGCGTGTAATTGAACATATATAGAGGTCTCGGTCATTAATACCATAAAACAGAGGCCCCACAAAACTTAGGATGCCACAATCTGCTCCCGCCTTTTTATTCTTATTCTCTTCTCGCCCTCTTAGTTCCTGGTTCTTCGCCTGCAAAGCAAAAGACTATATGAGCATAATTTGAGGAAAAATAACTCCTTTATCCTGATAATTAAATTTAAAGAGAAAAGTGGTTAAAATAACTTAAATAGGCATAAAAACATTATAGATTTAATCTAATACTACTTTCCAGTCTAATCCTAAAACCCCGAGGTCTTTTAATTAGGACCGAAGGTAGTATATCCAAAATCTAAACTAATTTAAATAAGATCTGCACTTATCACCTACATACCAGTCTCGATATCATCTTCATTACATTCACCACAATTGGTGACTTGAACTGATGACCCTAAACGAGCCTCAGTAATCTTGTCTAGTGTTTCTATTCCGCGAGCCAGCTTACCAAAGACCACATGAAACCTACACAAAGGTTCACATAAATAATAGGATTGATCAATTATACACATCTTCAGATGCAATATTTGCATACCAAGCAATTTATACTAGCCACCAATTAGAAGGGGAAAAGGGCAGAACACAGTGTTAAATAATTCAAAGAGAAACCTTTTAAGTCGCCGATCAGGTTTCTTTGTTATCACAAAGTGAGAACCAATGCCAAGACGATCACAAATATCCATGCACAAAAGCCCTCGTGCATCGCATTCAAGTTCAGGATTCTCATCTAAAATCAATCAGGAGAACAATATAAATACCTTACTTATCAAAATAAATAGTCATTTTGAGTCACGTCTTGAACAGCAAAATATTTTGAATTATTGCCGTATGACTGGCATTCTCACCTGGGAAATCTGCACCATAAATGCTTTCGCCACAAGTCCCTGCAAAAATATTTTTAAAAAAAATTAAAAGAGAGATATATATAAGAATATTACAATCTTGAAAAACTAGATAACTGTTTCATTCATCATAATTTCAATACCAGAATAGAAAACATACCGCGTGAGCTAAAAAAATCACCACCCTGCAAAATAAAAACCAGCTACCAATATAAATTAAGATACGACAATGCATATAAAATGACTCTGGAGATTATGAAAATCATTAGCATTATAATATAAGATGGAAAACTTTGTAAGCACAAGCGTAAAAGCACATCACAAGAATAGCACTCATGACCATCAAATCTGTATCCTATGACATAAACAAGGTGAGTGATCTAATTATCTAAAGCAGTTTCAATAAATCAGTGACATAGAACAGACACATACGGATGGCTGAACAAAACTTCAAAGCAAATTGTGACATCATGGTGAAATCTAACATCAAGCTAACAATGTCCATTTTCAATATAAGGTTCACTTCTAATAATGTAGAAGTTTAAAAAATCAAAAGGTAATGCAAGAGGGGGAAAACTTGAACCCAACCAAAGAAAAAGGGAAAATGCATTCATCAAACCAAAGTAGAAGAAAGTAAAATGTAGACTGCAGGGTAAACAAATAGAAGAACAAAATCCATAACCAAATAACTCCCATCAATTGTGCATATTTGAAGCAACATCATCAGCGAAGAAAGCCAAACCATAACCGGATAACCCCATCATTTATGGCTACAGAGGATGAAAAAGGAAGGAGCAGAGTAAACAAAGAAAATCGCAAAGATGTTTTAATTATCAAGACAAAAAGAAACGCACCTTTATATAGGAGGAGCCTCTCCAAATCTGATAAAAGAAGGAACCCTTGTAGTGTAGGGGCAGTCTTTGTATCGGTCCTTTTCCTTTTTCACCTGAACAAAGAGAAAAACTAAATGAGAAATAGGGAACCTATATCATAAGCCATAAAATCTAAATACATTAGCATGTCCAAAAACTTGTTCAGTTTTTTGGGGGGGGGGGGGTGTCAGGACTTGTTCAGTTAGTTGAATAGTAATTGTAACACTATAGGGTTTTACTAAACCATCAAATTATTACCAGTACACAGGGCACGAAAATTTTCTACTGTTGCAGGGGCAACATCTTTGAATAGCTGGAAGGAAGGACAAAAGAATTCATTAGACTGCATTTCCACTCTCCTCAAATTCGAAGTTGCAAAATCCACAAAAGTATAAAAACTTCATCATGTATCACAATATTCATTGTAATTCAAAAGTATTGAAAAAAAGGGTACCTCAAAAACCATCGTTCCAGCATGCACCTTATCCACAGAGACATCCATAAAAACTTGGGGATTCTTCGCTTCCATTGCCTTTCTCTTATCAATCAGAACTCAAGCCAACAACCACTGAAGTCATGAGACACCAATTAATTATTTACGCGCAATATTGCATCAGAAGCAGACGTTATATCAAGGCTACAATTCAAAACGTAAAAGATGGCGTCTGGGACCTGAGAATAGACAGCATGCAGAGACATTAAAAAAGTAAAGGAAGCAAGAAAATTCGAATAACCCAAACTTTAATACTGAACAGGGAACATGACTTTATATCATCATTAGTCATTGACTCTATATATCACAATCAGTCCCTAACCTATAAACGTTAAATGGCACAAAGTATATACAAAAATTTAGGAGAGTCAGCTATATAGCAATCACAATTTAACTCAACAAGTGTTCCATGCTAATTTACTACTAATTACCATCAGCGAGGTATATGGTAAATTCATAATGGGCGCTAGTTCATATATCATCAGAAGTAGTAACAATCCTCACTAAATGTGAAGTTCCAGGCTTAAATTTTATAATTGTCAATACCCTGTAGAAAGACTAAGTTAAAAAATTCATTAAAAATAGAACCCCGTCACTGATACGGCTGAGACTGAAATAGATAAGATAGATGGATATCATCTATCGGGAAGCCAAAGGAAGATTGATGAATCCGGCAAACCAAGTCAAATTTAGATGTTAGAGTCATCCGCTGAGTATTTAAAAAGGGAGTGAATATAACAATGGTGTAAGGTTAAATCTTAGAAGGTACAAGATGCAACCCAAACTTAGAACAAGAAATAAATATATGTTCACAAGCTTTTAAACGTGACGGTCATTCCATTAATGGGTCAACTGAAAAGTGGGGAAATTGGTATTCACGGGAAACCTCTATTATTCAAGGGGGAAAATTTTCTTTTGCATTAAGTTAAATCAGCACATTTTTAGAGAAAACCAGAAAAGCAACCAAGCAGAAAAGAAAAAACACTTTGAACATCCGATGATCCAATAACAATACAAGTAATCTGACATATCCAAAATTCTGGAATAAAAAGGAAAAAGAAAACCGCAAAGCAACTAATTTGACAATTCCAAAATACTACTCATAACTTACATTTTTCCCACTGCGCAAACAAAAAGGGCATTCAAAAGGGCCAACGAGAAGAAGCTACTCGAGCAAACCTTCTGAGGAGAAGCTACTCGAAAACCGGAGAAGAAGTTATTCGAACGTTGATGGAGAGTAACGAACGAGCGGCCGCCGGTTCGATCTGTCAGGGAAGAGGAAAAAAGCGACTATAGCACAAAATGCGGGAATTGACCGATTGTTGAATCCCTTTTGCGCATCAACGAGGAACTTTGGCTTCTCTCCTGTGTCTCTTATAGCCGCTGCCCTCTGGCGGTGTTGCTTAAGACGGGGGCGTTTGCATTAATTTTTTTTCCTTTTTTTTTTTTTTGCGTTACCAAAAAGGACGATTTCAACAAATTTGTCTTGAATTAAGACTGTTTTGTTTTTGGCCACCGTTTTGAATTAAGATTGTTGATTGAATTATTTTGGTTCATTTTTTATTCTATATTTTAAATTTAGAAGAAAGATTATAAATTCATTTTTACAAGAGTCGAATCTAAAAAGCTACATATTCATTTATTTATGCGTTAGATTTTTAGTTCTATTTTAAATTTTAAATTTTTTTGTTTAAGACTTTTGAAATTAAAATACTAAAATCAATTTAAATCTTTGATTATTTAGACACATACATGATATTATGTATATTGTTTAAATATTTAAATTTAGAATTTAATTTAAAAAGTTTAAATTTAAATTAATCACTTATCTTTCAAATTAAGATATTACTAAATCAATTTGTTACTATTTTTTTATAAAGACATAATCATATACATCATAAGGAAAACTGATCAGAATCAGAGGGACGAATGTATACATATTTCTATGGTATATATCAGTAATAATAGATTAATAAATCAAATTTTCAAAATTAATTATTTCGCCAAATAAAAAAAAAGGGGGAACTTTTTATAAATTTTATTTTGGTACCTCCGTATTGAATCGGGATTTTTTATTTGGTCATTAATTATTTCAAAATGTTAACCAATTCGACAGGGACTTGGCAGAAGTCCAGAAATGGCGAAAAGGGTCCGCGACGGTGTGGAATTCGCCACTGTAGAAAATCCAAGCTCCTAGATAGAACTTCCGGAGGTCGAGGCTTTGATGATTGAGAAGCTTCTGGGCCTCTGAGTAGGCAGAGATGAAGAATTGGAATCTGCGGTCGAGAATAAAGTCATCAACGAAGTCAGTACAGACGCATCCACCGATGGTGTCAAAAGCTCTGACAAAATATATGATGTTAAATTTCTAACGAATCATGACCAACATTCTTCTTTACAATACTTCTTAAGTTCTAAACCGTACGAAATCTATCATTTTATAACTTAGCTTGTCCATAAGAACATCATCAACATTTGTAATTAACTTGCTTAGTGAAAATAACTAATGCTCTTCCGGTCCTAAATATAAAACTCTTTTTTAGTATAAAGTACACTATAAAAAAAGTTTTATATTTAGAACCGAAGAAGTATTAAACAATCAAATATTACCCAAGCATCATTATTATTTAAAATACATCGAAGAAAAAAAATAGAGTGAAAAGACCCAATATATATATATATATTTATTTATCTCCATCAGAAATATCGCTTGCCTATCCCATTGGACCAGAGTTTTTGGGGTTTCGCTTCAACTTTGCCTTTGAATAATGCGTGTACGGTGCAAACCTTAAATGCCTCCATGACGTAACGTAGTAACGTATCATGTAAACACATTTTCCCTTTTCATGCTATATATGCTTATAACAAAAAAAAAAATATGTATTTTCTAACAGTTAAATTATGACGTTATTAACGTTTTTAACCGTAACAAACAACATTTGTAGCTGTTAAACAAACTGTTAGAAAATCAAGTGTAAGAAACAGTTTTCTAGCGGTTAAAAAAACCGCTACATATAGTATGGTCAAAGTGCTAGAAAATTTCTAGCGGTTAGCTACATAGTATGGTCAAAGTGCTAGAAAATTTCTAGCGGTTACGCTAACCGCTAGAAAAAACAAGTAGGCACAGGAGAATGCGACGACATTTGTAACGGTTTAAAACTGCTAGAAAATTTGTCAAAATATTTGTAGCGATTAAAAAAACTGCTAGAAAATTTTGGACGAAATTACATTTTGCCAAAAAACAGAATTTTCAAATTAGCACCAAAACTTTCTAGTCGGTTTTTAACCGCTAGAAATTTGGCGGCGGGTGGTACCAAATTTAAATTTTGCAAAAATTTTCCTTCTTTTCTTTATTTTCTAGAGGATTCTGAGCCGCTGCAAAGTCTTCCAAGCGAAAAAAATAAAATTCAAATGTTTTATTATTCAAAAATATAATATTGTAAATTAAAAAACCATTAAATAAATTATATTAGAGAATTTATGTTAATATGCATATTTACCAATGTATTACATGTTGTATATCTAAATTTTGTGATAATAATAAGTAATTAAATTGTGATTGTGTCAAATGAACTGAATTTAATTTAATAAGATAGTTGAATTGGAGATGGGATAGTTTATAATATTGAATCTTAACTCTTATGTTGAAAAGTGGTTGAACAAGTTGACGAGGGCATGACAAATGTGAAAAAGAAAAATTCGAAAGAAAAAGATAAATAAATTGTTAGTAAATTATAAATAAAGATAAATAAAAGAAATTAAGATTTATAAAATAAATACCATCTTACCATATAAAGAAGAGGAAAAAACCACCATATGAGAGAGTAAGAAGAAAAGAGAGAATTATAAAGAAGAAGAGGAGAGGAAGGAAAAGAGATGGGGTAAATAAATAAGGAGATGATATGGTATTTGTAGAGGTGAGCGAGACGTTTCTAGTGGTTGTTTACTATTTATAGCGATTTTATTGATTTTGTAGTGGTTTTGTAGTTCTAGCGATTCTGTAACCACTACAAATTGTAATTTTTTTAATTTTTAAAAAACTGAACCGATTTTAATTTGTACATATTTATTTATGAAAAACAAATTATTTGAATGATAAAAATTTTTGAAACTACTATTCTTGATTATCATCCTGTCTGAAAGGAGCTATTAAAAAAATTATTGTTAGAATTATAATATATTTAGAAAAAATTAGTAATTAGTGGTTAAATATTTAAATAATTTAAGAAAAGGCATATATCTGATAATGGCCAAATTATCATCTCATTAAGGAAAGAAGTTTTCAAAATTCATGGGTTGGAAGGATTCGCTGTGATAAGTAATGTCACCATCACCCATATCATAACGATCTCGTGGCTTGATATGAACGAACATATTCCAATCTTTATGTTTCTCGTTCTCGACATAGTAAACCTGGTGTACCTTGGAGGCAAGAATATATGGCTCCTCATCTTTAGATTTCCCTATATGAATGAGTCTAGAGAAATTAACAGAGGTGATGTCCAAGTGGTTAGTAGTGAGTCCCCGTGAAGTTGTCGTATTTGTCCAAAAGCACTTGAACAAAGTTATGGTGAAAAGCTAGTAACTTAACTCAACGATGTCAATTAGCTTTTCACAGAAAGTGACGCCTCCAAAGAGCATATCGTCGTCACTGCTGCTAGCATAACATTTCATCATGAATGTCCCGTAAACTCCAAAGTCTTATGTGAGCAATCGCTGATCACGTCCAACTATACGGAACTTGAACTCGTTGACATTATATACGGTAAACCTTCGTGCATGGTCTAACGGACCGAGGGAAAGAGATTTGAATTCATCTGTGTATGGGCTGTTGTCATTACGTATTCGACGTGTAAACCAACCAAGAAACTCTCTGTGGACTCTTTTATCAATGTTAGCAGAACGTGCATGTCGTCATAGATGCCGCTTGAGGTAATTTCTAAACTCACTACAATAAAGTGTAATTTGTTAGAAGAGTTAGTGAGAAACAAATATAAAGTGTGAAAGTTAGAGAGCTTATATAATACTTACTGCATGAAGGGTTCAACTTGGTTGCAATTTATCAAAACATGTCTGTGCGCCTGGAGTTTTTCTGTGAGAGTAAGTCTAAAGAATTCATATCCTCTAACTGGTTTCCTGATAGGATGAAATAAAGTTGACGTGGAAAGACAAGGAGGAGAATCATCCATGCGACATGGGAGGTTAAAAGATGTCTCCATTTCATCAAAGTACCTTGAATAGAAACTTAGGACCTTATCTCCGGAATAACCTTCTGCTATTGACCCCTCAGGCCACGCCTTATTCCTAACATGTGATTTTTGTTTTCTCAAATACCTGCAGGTTAATATTCCATTAATAATTATGGGCAATTGAAATAACAATGTCAAATTTAAAGAGGCAGGGATAAAAAATAATCTAGTACCTCTCTATAGGGTATATCTATCGATATTGAATTAGGCTAGCAACCTTTGCTTCTCAAACAAGGTGGACAGTCAAGTGAACCATGACAGTAAAGAATGATAGAGGAAATATCATTTACAAGTGACAAAGTGTAAGAATTATTTTGTTTTGTAGCTAATCGAGCTCTTCCGGTATCAAGACCTTCACACACAACTTCTTGAAAAATGAATACAATTCCACCAAAACCACTGATACATCAGAAGAAAGTGTGTTTCTCAAAACCAATGGAAGTAACTGTTGCATAAGAACATGGGAGTCATAACTTTTTAACCTAGTAACCTTTCAAGCCTGCAGATTGATAAACCTTGAGATGTTGCCAGAATATCTATTAGGTACTTTTATGTTCTTTGGCATCGAAAGGAAGATATTCTTGTTCTGCTTCGTCAAGGTGAATTTAGCTGGTTGAAACTTGTCGTTTTTATCAGGCCAAGCCTCTTCATGAATTCCTCAGGCTCGAAAATCTTTTCTAATTGTGAGATGGTCTTTGGACTTTTCAGCTTCGTTGAGCAACGTATAACGCCTAAATTGTGTCGTAACAAATTAGATTCCTAATAAGGAAGAGTGAAAAATATGCTTCTCTTCCGCTATTGCATAGGTTGTGCATCAAATGTCCTAAGAGACCATCATCTCAGTCGTTCGGGATCCACATTCTTGCTAAACTCAACATCAATATCTTCTAACTGCCACAAAATATCCACACTAGACAAAGTAACAAGAGGATCTCTCTTTTCTTGTTTTCCATCAAAGCGAATCCATTGCAATCTAAATTTGTGCTTGGAATCAAGGTACCGTCAATGTCCTATGAAACACCACTTGCAATTGTGTAGAAGTTGACATAATACGGCGTCAAAATTGCACTTAGAACAGGCCA